AAAATCATCTGAGGGTTCACTCGCTGGCTTGTTTCCTGTTTGGCTGCTCATTGGCTCAATTAAAGGATCATTCATGATGTCACTGGGAGGCTTCATTGAAACATCACTGGTCGGTGTGGTGTCCATTTCGGTCACTGGTGATGTGCTCTGAAGGCCAAAAGGGGATGCTTAATGTCAATTGCTGTCATGTCACGTGTGTGTAGACAACAGACAATTCTTAAAGTAATCCAAGACTCATGCAACAAGTTGATCAAAGTTTCAAATTTTAAAGACCTTTGGGGCTTTTTTTTTCTTTTCTTAGATCTCAATAGCTTCGCATAACACAATCTGGTCTCTAGGTAGCCAAATTAGATATTGGGTAACATCTAAACATCCAATAGCCATCCCAGCTACTGGGTGTGTCACTGACAGCAGAAACAATGTTTTCAAAATAAAAAACAAGGACTTTGTCACTGTAACCATTTCATTAGATAAGCCTTTACATTAGGGTTAGACTAATGTAACAGTCTAATGTAACAACGATTGCAGTGTTTAGGTTTTTGTTTACAGGGTAGTGAACAAAATGACTTAACAAACTTAAATGACTTGCTTCAAAGGCTGCTGATTCAGAAGATGAAAACAACTCTTGGATCCGTTACTCTGTGACCTTGGCTGGATTAAAGACAACTTTTTCTGATGACTTAATGGGCTTGATGGTTTCAGGTCATACTGACTAGAACATGCAGGATATTTTTGTAAGTAATGGTCATCAATGGAGTCAAAAATGCTATGCGTCATGTGTCATTAGCAAATGACTGTGTAGTTTCTTTCATTTCAAAGTCAGTCACATCCAATTTAGGAACGCGATGAACTACGTTTATTGCCAAGAAAGAAAATTCTCAGCTCAAGGTTTTATAATAGAGTTTTGTTAAATAATGAATGATGTCGTATTGGCTGTTTCCATCTTTTATATACAGTCAATAATATCTGCATACCTATACAGTTTAAGAAATAAGCCTGTCAAGCAAGAATGGTAGCATTTATCTGATAACCTACCACTCCACATTACTATTTATTATTATTATTATTATTATTATTATTATTATTATTATTATTATTATTATTATGTGACATACAGGGAAACTGCCAGTGTTAAATTTTTTCAGTACTAGTGGAAAATTAATGTACAATGACTAATAACTGTATTTAGTGGTCCCAAAAATATTTCCATTTTATCTGTATATCTGTCGCGCCTTATTAAAAATGAAAAATGTGAATTATACTCTTTAGACAAAAAATGCTTAAAAAAATAGTAATACATCCCCGAAACTTCTTTTTATAGGAAGTCAAGTCACTCTGGCTGCTGATACATTTCCAAACATCATTTCAGGCATGAGCTCTGACACCTAAAACATCCATAAAATGCTGACTGAGGGTTTCCGTGCAGCAGCGAGTTCAGTGTTGTTAGGAGAAAAAAATCGAAGACAGCAACTTTCTCATGTATCCTCTGAACTTTGACTGTAGGAAAACATCCGGGTTCTGACCATGTGACCACACCACGCTCACATGACAGGAGGCTGCCCGAGCCAGCGTACGATCCTTATTTTAGGGGGAGAAATACGTAAATAAAATTGGGAAGCTGACTTAACCCACTAATAAGCATCGTGAAATAACACTATCACCTCCCTTACTGTGTCAGCTCTCACAGAAACCACACACAGACCTCACTGTCTGCAGATTTCACCTCACCTACGCATGGCGTGAAAAGTCTGCACGTCAAAAAAAATGCTGAGGACACCTTCAGATTTAAAAGTTAGCTCGATAAAGTTTTAGAAGATTAAAAGAACTCACACATTCCATGCACCAAAACAGGAAGTACGGCGTTACCTGGTTTGGTTAACTGAATCACTGCGAGGGAGAACTTCAAAGAGCAACTTTCAGGGTGAAATCAATACCAGTGAGGGCGTTTGCAGAACTCCTAAAGCTCGTAGGCAGGTAGTAAGAAGTTTCTACAACAAATGCTTCGAAACATTAGGAAATGCTAAGAGTTTTGGAGATGACAATATCTTATGTCAACATTGTTTGTTATTTTTCCCCTGTGCAACTGCTTAACGTTGGTCAACATCTCCTAAAACTTTTGCCTCATTAGCTTTCCTAGCTAACTCTGCATTAAGTTAACGAGTTATCCAGACCTGACCGCTAACAGCTAGGTCGACTCCACCAGTACGTACCGTACTCCCGAAGAGGTCCTCGTCTTCATCACTGTCGCGGCCTCGGACTTCTTCAGTGTCCAGCACATCTTGGTCCTCGGAGTCCGGGAATGGGGGAGGACTGCGCTCCGAGCTGGTCGCCATCTTCACTCTCTTTGAAAACACAAGGGGAGGTAACGTCAACTGCTCCCCTCTGCTCTCTGTCACACAGACGTGTTTCCTTCGGTTAGCAGCTAACGTTACCTTCGCCGTTTCTCAGTGTGGTTTACCTCGGCCGGACGGGGGTGTACACCTAAACTGGGCTGACTAGTGGAGAACAGACACTGCTCAGGACGTGCAAACCCGCCGCTGTCTTTTCACTTCCTGGTCCTACTCCTCCTACTTCTTATCAGGTTAGCTTCAGTGTTAGCTGTAGCCTGTAGCCTTGGCAGTCATAGGACCGGACACCTCGCTCGGAGATTTGACGGATCTGGAGAGAAGTTAGCTAATCTACCCAGATCTTAAGTGCCCAGATTAGAGACACCCGACTTCTGTGGAGGAGATGTCCCGTCATAAGCATGCCGGAGATCCGGAGGCACGCCAGCCGCTTCTCACGG